AAACTATTTCATCAGTAAAACTAAACTTTTAAGTTTCCATGATACTTGTGTTTTTAGCAAATTCTCTGCCATCTCTAATTTCTTGTTGCAGCTGCTGAGCAGTATATAATACCCAGGCTGAAGCTTTACAAGTGAAATTTCAGAAGAAAGTTTAGACGTGCTCTTCCTTACTGGACTGGACTCATAGACTAAAAAACAAACTTAAAAACCTAGAATAATAGCGTCTACTTGCTTCAACAGACCCACCCACAATTGTGTGCTTTAATTTTTCAACAAGATGTTGAGGTAGGGCCTGAGGAAACCCATAAAAATGTTTCATTTGGCTTTCTGGCAGTTTTCCCCAGCTAGAGGGCATGAAAAACACTAAGGATGCAAGACCCTGCTAAGTTTCCATAGAACGCCTGACTCAAACACTGCAGAACATTCTGTACATCCCAAAGCAGTGGACTCTATTACTCCATTCACCCTAGGGACAGCAACAAGCAGCAGCAGGTCATCAACTGGAAACTGGAAACCTGCCATCTTTTAATTAGCTGCTCTCTACTTCACAGTAATCATGTTTGAAATCCTATATAATGTAGGTCAGATTTGCTGTACAAGCTCAGATAACACGAAGCCAAATTTTTAATTATGTAATTAGCCAGCAACACCTTTTCAGATGTAATAAATATCATCTCCTCATTAACGTTAGGAAGCATGACATACAGCCAGGTTTTGTTCTTTCCTAATCATTGTCCAGATAAACAAAAGGGCTTCCCAACTGACTCTGGACTCAAGAACCACTTTTTTTCTTTTTAACTGAAGACAACAGCTTTCTATATCACTTAACTTGGATTTCATCTTGAATTCCTTGCAGGAAGTCCTTCAGATACAAGGACCAAATTCTCAATTCGCTTACACCCAGTGCAAGGGTTATTTAAGCCACTCCACTTTTCAGTGATTCCAAATAAACCGGTTTATGAGCAATCACTAGAAATATTGTAAAAGCAAATAACACTACCTCATACAAACTGTACACAAGACCTTAGAGCAGAGGATATCAAAGGCATCAAAGTCTTATCGTTATTTCACAGACTGTTGCTGAACTGAATAAGAAAGATTAAGTGTTACTTAGTCATACAGCAAATCAATTCCTGATTCAGGAGCAGAACACAGGTCTCCTGACTACCAGTCCAATACTATGGGGGCAAATGACCTAAAAGAAAGATTTCTCACATCTGGTCCCTTCTCCACTTCCAGCATCATACCGCGTTGCTACTTGTTTAGGGTGCTAGGCTGAAATGTGATTCTGGCTGTGCATTAAAAAACAAAAATTCAAATTTAGATGGTGGATTCATATTAATACAAATTAATAAATTTCTTCTGTTAATACGCTGCAGTATATTGTGTAATATAATATAATCCTAGTAATATGAGCCCTTGCTACAGCTCTCTGCTATTAAATCATTGCCAAAAAGTGGGGAAAAACTGCCAACCCTATGTGCAAATTATGAAGTGTGCAGATTCACAAGATTCTGTGTTATTGACAAAAGTAAACTTTTTTTGAAATAGACTGATTTAGATAGCTGATTTCTTTAAATACATTTATTTTACCTTGCAGGCTTCATCCATTTGGGCAGGAAATTAACTTTTCAACCAGTGATCTTTTTCAAAACACCTCTTAAAGTGTTATTTTCATAACGAATGCTAGTAAGAATAGCCCTGTATGAACACACCCCCAAAATAAGTTTACAATGTCTGACAATACCCCAAATATTTTGGTAGGTGTAGTGCACACAGGCACTTGGTTTTGAGTCAGAACTCAAAGTCCTAATTCACAAAAGAGCACAGAGGTGCACTCAGAATTTGGCAGGCCTGCAGCTTCAACTTCACCCCAAACAGACAGACAGGCAAGCAGCCAACCTTTCAAGAACTACCTCAGGCTGCCATAGATCTCCCACCTCTCAGCCTAGACATTTCATCAACCACTGGATCATCCCTCCTCTCCAATGGATTCTGCTCTAATGAGATGTCTTGGGGAATTCCTCTTCACGCTATTCTCACTCTTTAATTCCAGTCCTCTCTGCATGATCCTGCTCTTCATCATTCACCCACTCAGGGGAAGAGAGATGAGCATGAGGTTTCCCAGTCCTACAACAGGAGATTTCTTTCTCATACTTAAAATATTCAGGCCTGTTTATCTAACCTGCTATGGCTTAACAACCATGACATGTAGCATAACTGTCGCCAGGGATCAGCAGCATTAGTAAATAGAGAGGAAAGGGAGCTTGTTACATTTTCCGAATGGATTCTCAGGTAGGGGCAAAATAGGAGCTGTTATCCTACACCTGGAAATGATCACAAAACAAGCTCTAGCTCATATCTTTGAATACATCCTGTGCATTCACTTTAAAGTATATTTCTTGCTGCACAATTTCTTTTTATGTCAGAATCTTCTCAATTTCAAAACCAAAGAATTCTCTGGAAAGGACTATTATTTTTCCAATGAAATTTTTCCAGTGATCAAATGGAATATGCTAATGGAAAGTCATTCTAGTGAAACGCCTGCCTCTTTCATTTGCCAAAAAACAGGAAGGTTTTGGTAAATGTCGTCAGTTGTTTGTTTTAGGAAAAAAAAAGTTCTCCGCATGTCATTTGAAAACCAAGATGAAGTTTGTATTCTAAAATATTTGGGAAGTTTTTAGTACTTATTTCTCATAAAATCTTTGATATTTGTCTACACGTTCCCTCTTATTTCTCATTAATAAGCAAAATCAATGACTTTAGAAATTGTTATTCAGTCCACAATATCTTAACTTTTTTTTTCTTTTTTATGTCTAAAGAAAGGAAAAATGAACGTAAACGTTAACAGTACCCTGCAATCTAAGTGAGAAAGCAGCTATAGTGTGTTTTACCAGTGTCAATCCAGTTTTCACTTGTTCCACTGAGAAAAATAGATTCCTTCATTGCTCCTTCTCAGTTTTCATCCATTCACCAAAAAAACATTCTCTTCATACTAGAAACCCACCTTCATTTTTCTTTTATAAAGTACTCTAAAAAAAACTGTATTTTGCATCCTGAATTAGATTGCATTGAAGGCAAAGAACTCTATTAATTATTAAAAACTTTTTTTTTGTATATACGAGAAGATAGATGACAATTTGTCATACTAAGAAGTGCAACAAACATACACAATACATCTGAACTGAAGTTAGAGAAATAAAATGTATAAATCAAACATTAGAGAAAGAAAGAAGAGAAAAAATGAAATACGTAAGGTGGCTGACAGGCCAAGAATGAGGCACAGTGGGTGTACCTACACCAGTAAATTAGGTGTATCAGTCCTGGCTGCTGTAAATAACAGGCATGCGCCGGCCCAAGACCTTGCTATTAAATTCTCCCATTCTCCAAGTACAAGGCTACATGCAACGTACCACTTGGAAATAGTCACCAGTGCATGCTGTGTTCTGCACTGTGCCAGAAATAAGTGGCCCAAAGTAGGGTCATGCTGGAGTGTTGTAGCAATTTAGCAGTACATTTGAACAAATCTCAGCAGCCAAGAATATTGCCTTGACTTCTATGCAGACAATGAAGAGATCCTGATCACTAATATTGCGTGCAATTATCTTTCTGCTTCTCTGAAAGACATAGCAATTCTTCAAACACATGGCCTGTTGCATTACTAGCCCTACATTTTCTCTTTGATAATTTCAAGGAAAAAGGAAAGTCAGTAGAGAGTGATCCAATGAATGACGGAACCTTTTGAAAGGAAATAACCAAAGGAAGTAGAATTAAAATGAGACTTAAAGACATAATTTCTGATCTTTTTGCAGTTCTGGCTTGGAAAGCATTATTTTTAAAACTATCTTTGCAATGCTAAGTAGTACTAGCATACCTTTGCTGCCTTTCGACATATATATTTTATGTATTAGTACTGAAGAAAAAAAAATAAATACACAATTCTTAGGCATTCCTTTGCAGTCCAGTTCATGAGTTTTCTTAGCCATCCCTAAAGCTTCTGTTTGATTTGAAATTATTATAGGACTTGAGTAGAAACATCTTTTTTCCTTTTAAGCTTATATCACAATGTAGATTTAGAAAAAGTCATTTCACTGGTAAGAAAAAAAGTAACATTGGATTTTAACTTATGGTTATATCATTAGGAATATATATTTCAGGCCTGTGACCTTACAGCTGCAAAATATAGAACTAGTTTTACTTCACAAGTTTTTGTCCAAACATTTTCTTTCATTTTGATCCAAATAGTTTCACACCCACTGAGTTAGACTTTGACTTTCAGATTTGAGCAAACTGAAAATTCCAATCAGTTCCTCAGTTAGAGTAAATTGGTGTAGCTCCACAATGGAGCAAAAAAACTGACTTCAATGGAACTACATCGATTAACACCGTGTGAGGATCAGATCCTGATCAAATTGAAACTCAATTGAAATGGCTGTGCTTCACCTGGTGTTTATTTGCACCTCACATCAAAACCATGCAATGCTATGAATTTTGCATGATTCTGATCCAAAGCCACACACTATATATGCTTAAAATTGAGTTCAGGTCATTCAGGAGTTCCACAATGCTAAGCAAATCTTTTGATAAATATGGTTTGCGTTACTACTTTGTAACAAAACTCCACACCAGGTGACTTTTGTGTGGTCTGGTGTTTGATTGTGAACATTTTGCACTGCTCTAATGAAACGATTTCTAGGACAACTAAAGGATGAAAAAATTTCAGTTCAGCGATTTAACCACAAGTTCCGTGATACACACACAAACTGTGACCACAGCATTAAGCTCCTGATGTCTAAAATTTGAAACATAATTCCCTGTTAAAACACCTAAATAACACTGGTGCAATCTTCTAGTGATTGTGTGCAGTGGAGTGCAGCTCTCATTATCGGTATAAGTGCAAGCCAAAACACTTAGCCTTAAGACTTAGTATAGGCTAACATTTCATCAGAGGTTGTAAAGGAATTGAAAGGTTTTTCAGAGGTATTGACACATAAAAATACCTGAAAGTACAGATGGTCATCTGAGGCTGTATCCAGTGAAGGCACTGGACTCTTCAGACTGGGACAGGAAAGGTCCTGTGTGTGGAGTTCATGTAGCGATGGCTGAGAAGGAAGTTACTGACAGGAGCCTTTTCATTCTCTCTGGAATTTTCATGGGAGTCACAACTCTGAGCATGTAGGACCATGAAGCACGCAGAATACAAAATTGTTAACCTAGACAAAAGTATTTGCATGCATTCATTATTTGTAGAGGAGGTTACTACCTTGCCTTTTGCATGCAGAAAATACATATACCACACATACAATAGGCCATATAGCTCCAAGAAGCTTTGAACTTTTTGCATTTGCCCTAAAGAATGTGATTTGTAGATTCAATATGTATAAACAAAATGCATGCCTGGGATTTCTGGATTGCTCCAGGCAAAGTTTGCTTGTAGAAAAGTTGATATATTCAGAAAAACTGTGACAAAAGGCAGCCTTATGCTAGTAAGAATTGCAACAGTGCTTAAAGATCTTTTCACTACACTTAACAGAAATGCACAAAAACAAGACAAGGGCAAGTACTCCCATGCAGATGAGACCACAACACAGTGGGCCACAACATATCCCTTCACATGGGATGAATATAGTATGCGACTCTAAGCTCTAGTCTTCTTGAAGGCCTACCATGCTAAGCCTTTCAGAAAAAAAAAAAATGACAAGAGGAATGTACTATTTGAAGTTTCTAACTCAGTCTTGGAGAAAGTTGAGTACCCACCTCCTCAGAGTTAGACAGGCACAGCTATACAGACAACCAAAAGTGTAACCAACAATTCAAAATTAAAGCTTACAGTGAGAGGACATCTGAATTCAGGCAGATCTAGCATTATATGGCACTAGGGTACTGTCTTCAGGTTTCATGCAACTCTGTTCCATACAGCAAATTTCCTAATCTTTTACTGAATTTAGCCTATGACATATTACGCAGATTTAAGAACTACTAAGACATCTGCAGCTTCAGCAGGTAATTTTCACACGACCCTGTTTTTGTCACTGTGCCTCTCACAAAATGCTGCCATCTCATTGTGGCTGAGCTGCACAGTATCTGTTTGTACCTACATCTCACTGAGCCAATTCAGCTTAGCATTGCCCTCTAAAACATAGTTTGGCACAAGACTGAACTCCTCATAAGTCACAGAGCCAAGACCATCACAAACTTATATTGTGAGACAAAATGTCCTGGGTTTATACTATGTCCCAGAAGCACAGGACACCTTACCTAATCTGCAAGCCTCAAACATAGGCATTCTATCTTTTAGCAAAGTGATCAGCTACAGAAATTCTGTGTATTCATCTCTCTTCATTTAAGGATGTATCAACACCATCTGATGACAGCAGCTAATGAAATAACAGCAGGAGAACAAAGAGCCGCATTACTCCCTAGCTACTGGTAAAGGTATACATCTAGGAAATGGGAAACCAAAGCAATGAATCCATGGACTCTTGCTGCATCCTCTCCAATGCCTTTCAAATGACTGCCACATAGCTCCTTTACTGTGATTTTCAAATGTGCTCTCTGCATCTTTGAGCACCCCTTCTCCTTACCACCTGATTCCCATCACATTCTGGTGATCAATAATTTTAAATGTGAGCAGTAGCTTCCTGGTTTGTACAATGACTAGTTCAATGTTATTACAGTACTGTGACAATCTCCAACAGTGATCTGACCGCTAAATCAAGCTGTAAATTAGACAGACTGGATTAACATTTTTCTATTGAGAAATAGCATGTTTCTATAGTCAGTATAAGGGCTTACTGCTGGCATGATTCTTCAGGCAGGAAGACAAGAATTTATTTTACTGAACGATAGTACAAATGCTTGAAAAATACACTGTAATAGGTCACTCATTTCCCTTGGAAACATCTACTGCTCTTTGGACTTCAGCCACATTGGTACTTGACTCTAACTTTCACTGTCTTTCATAGATGAATGTGATGCAGGAATTGGGAGACAAGAAGATAAAAACAGATAAGCTTTCCTCGTTGAAATTTCAAAATATGAGCGAATGGAGAGAACGTTTCCTTGGGAAAATTAATCCTGTTATTGCTAGCACCAAAACAAACATCTTCTGTTGTCTAATCTAAAATGCTTTCATGGGTCAAAACTACTTAATGAAAACTGTTTCCAAAGGCATTCTATTTTTGGGTCCTCAGTGTGCCCATTTACAGAGCAGCAGGGCCCTAGAATTTTTTGCATAGTAGAGTGTTTAATTTTACTTAGGCTAATTTTACTTAGGCTACCATCCCTTCCCAGTCCCATAAAAAGGTTTACATACAATAGATCACAGAGACTATAAACTAAGGACAAAGACTTGCACAATGCTGCTGAGGTAATCCTTTGTGCTCTGCGCATACCGGTACTGTATAATATTTGAGGAAAAGCACTATAAACTATTTCAGACATCTGTTTTTAAGGTTGCAGAACATTACAATGTAAAAAACAGACACTACAAGGACTCACATTTCCACCGACTTCAAATGATTCTGGATATTCAGCGGAAAGCACCAAACTGAGTAACTGCTCTCCCAACTGACAATGATAGCATGATGTTAAATGAGACAGATACTCATGCTGCCACTGTGTTGTACTGTCATGGTTTCTTTGCTCTCCATATGATGAAATAGGTGTTAAGCAGAGTTTGACAACTGTGCATTTGCCTTATCATATTTGCTGTTAATTCCATTATTAGGTATTATATCAGATTTCAGTGTCCCGTTTCAAAGAGCACAGCATCTGCTTACTAAAAGTTTCACTGTTGTCTCTATTCAACAGACAGCAAAAATTTTAAATAAAACTGCTTATTACATCTATAGTTCTGCGCTTCCTTCTAATACATAAAATACAAAACCAATTCAGGCATCATGTCATAATGAAGCTGAAACAAAGCAGCTTTTTGGGCAGCTGCTCAACATTCCTCCTTCTGCCTTGTTTTCTTTTCGGTAAATGAAAGGAAACAAAGGTTCCTGTTTGTTCTGTAAACCTCTGCCCATAGCACAGCATCCTCCATAGCAAGCCAAAAGCACAGCAGCTGTCAGAGACATAGCTGGGCTTAGGTGAAAGCAAATACTTCACTAAGTACATTGATCCTTTCAGGGCAGTAAAAGAAAGATATATGTTATATCACTTCCATAACTTTTAAGAATCACTCAGATTTTCTGTCATCTGAAGAAGGAAGTTTAAAAAACTTTCTTAAAGTCCAGGTCTTCAGATTCTAGGGAGTACAAAAAGGTAAGGATGGCTTCCTTATTTTTGACCAAAAGATGCTCAATTCTCCCTTAACAAGTAGGAGAATTCTAAGCCTCTAGCTCCAACACACTTTCACAGTTTTTGTTTGTTTTTGTTTTTTGTCTGCTTCAGCTTACTACTTAATATATCTATATATATACTATATATATATATCATCATGACAGACACTGCTGCAATGGACTCCAGAATTTTGTGAACACATTCTGCCACCTACAAAGGAACCGTAGTCTTCAGCTTCTTTGCAGTAAATTGTTCAACAGTGGGCTTACTGCCAGAGCTCTGCATAGTGGTCTTACAGCACTCCAGATCCCAGTATGAGTACATTTGGGAGGTTGCTGTTGTTAGCTTGTTTTGTGTGTTTCTTAAAGGCTCCTAAACTATACTCTTGAAAGAGTGCCTGGCTTGTGTTTTCTATACTTAGAGGAATTATATAGAGGAAAAAAAAAAAGAAAAAAAAAGAAAAAAAAAAGCCAACACATAAAAACCTAGAAAAATAAAGCAGTAACCACTGTATATACCTAATCAAATGAAAAACATGTTGTATTTTCCTTCTTTTTAGTTATCAGTGAAAACCTGCCAGATTTATGCTTGTACTATAAGATACCAGCCAACAGCTGTTAGCAAGCTAGAGAGTTGGTAGCTAAGGTCCTACATATTGTATTTCTTCATGTGAGGACAATGTTTAATTATAGCCTAGGTAGTAATGATAAAAATATTTGCTTGATGCACCCTTTCTCTGAAGCAGGTAAGCAAAAACCCAATGTCTGGAACGAGCACAGAGGGTGGCAATTACCCAGATAATTTTAGAGTAAGAATGTACATTATAGGCTCTTCCATGGGCTTGTCTTCTGGACCATTTTGTGACTTAGGACTTCATAAAAGATTTGTCTATGAGTTTGCTCCAATAGTATACCTAACAAAATCCACATTCCATGATGATATTACAGCAGTACAGGGATAGATCTGGCTGCTCTCTTGTCCCTCATACTTCCTCCCATTTCACGTACTCTCCTGGTGAAGCAGGATCTTAGAGGCACTGATGGTATATAATTTTTTTTCAAGCAAACTTATCACTAGTGCAACCTTTTTTAATGAAAGTGTGAGAATAACTCAATTCAACACAGAGCTAGCCTGAAAAGGACTCAATGTCTTTATGACCAATTATGGTCAAAGAAGTTTTTGTTTTGATAATAGTGTGTTTGACGATATCTGTCCACAGAAGGAGGATGTAATGTTTCCTACTTGACATACCTTCTGTATTGTGTCTTGTTTTCCTGTGTTCTCATTTTTCCAGGTTCTATTTGCTTCTCAGTTTTTTCTTGGGTGACATCCCATTTTTGGTTCATTGTTTTTTATCCTTATAATAGCAGACCATGTACAATAAGCATCAGGAAAAAAAAAAAAAAAAGAAGAAAAAAGTGTATGGATGTTCTTTATGTCTCCTGTGCTAAAGAACACATGAATAAATTTACAGATTGGACAGCATTTGAATAAAGTCAAAAGTACCCTTTTAAATATCCAACTTCAAACAAACAAACAAACAAACACATTAAAGGAACCTTAAATGCTTAGCGCCAGGGCATATCTTGCTTAGTAAATCTAATTTTCTTCACGGTTCATTATGGGTAGGATATTCAAATCTAAGATTTTCTTTGTTGTCTATTCTAGTTTTTTTATTTTTCGTATAAGCTTTATCTACACAAAGCAAAGACAAGAAAAAAGAGCACTCACCTACATATTCTTCAGGAGAAGGAAAGTCAAATACATTCAATTCCTGACAACTGAAGCTACTTCTGCTTTGTCCAAGAAGATGCACAGGTGCTACAGGTTCAGTTTAACTGTTGAAATGATCATTACCACCTGGAAGAATTTAGCTACTTAGAGTGGCATAGCAAGAAATGTGTTTGGGCCCAGCAGCTAAACTGTGTGTAACTATCAAAGCACCTCACTGCAGTTCTGTCTCTGCTGGTACACAAAACACACTCTGCTTGCTGACAAAAATGAGAAGACAGCATAGAAATTAAGCCAACGTGCCCTACAGAGAAATTGGTAATTAGTATGGGCTCAGCAGAGCTAATAGAAAAAAGTGGCTTTTGGAGGAGAACTGAAAGGCTCCTCTTGAAGTCCGTACTCAGTGATCTTAAAACTTCCTGCAACACATAGCACAGTTGCCTGCAGCTGAGGAAAGGCAAACTCTTCTACATGCACAGGAATAGGGGAGTGCAGTAAATGCAACGTAAACAGCTTGTCTGCTGTCACAGACAATTCAGCAGTGGAAGAAAATCTACATGGTTTAGGATGCCTTTCAAAATTAATGTGTGTCTTTCCTTTGGAAGAGTTTGATATCTCTCCATTTTACAAGTTCCTTAAAACAGGTGACTTTTTACTGCTGTGGAAGTGGTAAAGCAGAGAAAGCCTCTATTCATGCGGAGAAAATGGCTACACAGCCATGAGAATGCAGCCACGCAATGGGTCAGTGGTGCTGGACCTCCCATCAGTGTTTATGTACATATATTTATCTAAAAAGTCACTGTAATTAAACATGTGTCTGATCACAGTACAGTGCAGACTTGAATCAGCAGGTACGCTCATCTTTAGATAGCTGAAATCATAGATGATAACACTTGAAGGTAAATTTGGACATGTCAGCAAAGAATGATTTTTAAGCCATTAAATGTGGGTATATTCCTGTAACAGTAATTGTTCTGCATGGTGCAGACTCACAGGGATAGGAACTGGTAGTTCACAGCTCTGATTTCTGTCTGAGAGCATGAATAAGTCAAGCAACACTGTAGTGATGCTTTTTGGTGCTCACACACCATTTCTCACCATTGCCTCAGCACCCTTCCCTCCCTTTCCTCTCAACGTGGCCAGCTTTGCATTGGCATACTCTCCCTCTTGAACCAGTGGCATCTTCTTCCAGATGTTTCCATCACAACAGTCACATCTGACACACCTGGGCAGGACTGGTAGCACATGAGACTCAGGCATGTTTGTAACCATGTGGCATCCTCTCCTGACTGCTTTTATTGAACACTTCTATATAAGGAACATACTTGTAGAGATCAAGTTTCATTTCTGAATAATTACATATATGAAAATGAACTGAGTAATTGAATTCCAATGAATAATTCAAGCAGCTGTAATATTTGAATCTATAATCTGCCAGAGTGTTATACGATCTTATTTCCAGTTGATTCCTGAAAGGAAGTGCCTTACAAGCACTGGTACATAAAGTTGTCTCTAAACACAGACACCATCCATCGTAAATGTTTAATGTGCAATCATGAATTACAGCACCTGTTTTAAGTGATCAGCTACTAAAGGATATATAAAAAAAAAAGAGGACGGAAATAGGGGTTTCTTTCAAGGAAGATTATTTCCTGCTGTTGAATTTCTACATCTTAATAAAGTGCCATATTCAGTCTTTGTTCTTGTAACATCTACTGTGCTTATAACTAAAAACTGAAACAAAGATCCTACCATGGAATTTCAGTTACAACACCAAATATGTCAACTTAATTTTGCATGCACAGTGATTTAAATCCTTTGTTATCTGTGTACACGTGATATGCTACAAAGCAGGGCCCACAAAAATTTGTTCACTTCCTCAGTAATTTTTGCATCACGTTGTCTACTATTCCAATAGGTTTGTTTCTTTTCTTTAATATACCTGATAATTTGTAAAATGTCATTTTTATTTCAAGTGTTCATATTCACCTGCAAAAAACAGTCTGTAGAGCCTCTAAAAAATTTCTTCTAATGAGGATGGTATCTTAAGAGTTAAGTGGCATGCAGAGAGTAATAAAGGATCAGCAATAAATGCTATAAGGCAGTGCCTTACTAATAATAAAAATAAAAAACAAACAACAAAAGAAGTAAAAAATGATGAGATATAATACAGAATAAAAGGAGAAAGGTGTGGAGAAGATGAGAAGCTCACAGACTGTTTTGTAACAATTTGCATGCAGAAAATAGAGAAAAATACACAGTGGATCTGTTTCTCAGGGTGTTTGGTCCAAGTGTCATTGGCAGGAGTAAAGGGGCAGACTTTAGAAACATGAAGCAAGGAGAAAGACATAAAAAAAAATTGAGTGAGGGGAAGGACTTTGTGCCACTTTTTCCTTTTGGCCTTTATGCTCTACACACATTTTCCTTACCCTTACTCATACTTGTATGTCTGGGGGAAATGTTGGGATTGGGAAGCGATCCATGAGAATGAAGCAGCTTGAAAAGCATTATATTAGTCTGTGGAATAAGTAATACTTCAACCAAGTGAAGTAATGGAAACCGCTTCACCCAAGTCATTTAAAATTGGACTGAATAAGGCACTGGAGGTTATGCTGAAGGGAACAATTCTACATTGGCAGGAATATGGACAAGATGACTTAATAGATCTAGTGTCCACGTGCCAAATCCTGAGATCCGGATCCAGTTTTTATTACTCTATCATTACAAAAGTTGAACTTCCATTCACATTATTGGGAACTCAACCTGACACGAGAAAAAATAACCAGAAGCTTCAGGATTTATGCATAAGAACGTGAATAAAAGTATTTTCCATATAATTTAAAAATTTAACTTTCTATATAAAAATTATAAATTTCCAGTGCAGAAGTTCTGGATTTAAATGGAGTTCTCCAAATTGTTCCAAACACCCTTCCCAGGAAACTTGCAGAGTTTATAGAATTTAATTTGTCAAAGCTTAAGAGAATGTTTGATCAGCGTGAACACTTCTTTTCACTTAAAATAAGTTTTTGTGTGCATTATTTGTTCCTGAAATGGGTGAATATATCTGTGATTAAAATATTGTGATGAAAATTAAAGTTTACTTTGCTAGGTAATGGAATGATATGGGAACAGTAGTAGAAGTTGTCATTAAAAAGTAGGGAATATAGATGTAATCAGCAGGATTTTCCTTTTTTGTGTGTGTACTGACGTGACTTCATTAAATACTGGTGGGGCATTTCAATGTAAATGGTAAGTTTATGCTAAATGGAGTCTGTTTTCCTTAGTGCAGAAACGTGCATGAAAGAATCAAGATTGTTCAGAGATTGTGCCGAATTCCAATTTGTTTTAACTTTGAAACAAAACCTTACTAATTAAACCAAAATAATTCCAGAAAATGCTATTAATATTTTTAAAATAAACTGAGACTGGAAAGTGCTCAGTGGATAGAGATCTATATGTCCCTGTATGTACAGGAGTTGAATGCAGTTAAATGGTTTCAATTTTCACTTTGTTGCCATTCACACCAATAACTGTTGCCAACTAAGACTGTTCCTGACACAGAAAATATTAACTAGTGTCCCATGGCTCACTGTGTAATGATGATAGAAAAAAAAAAAAAAAAAGCCACGTTGAGTATATTGGGAAAAAAATGTTTAGAAAGATAACCTAGATAATTCTTTATTTTGTGATACCCAGAGAGGAAACACATTTGTTCTATTGAAGTTAAAACTTCCTAATATGAGCAGCAAGATTGAGAGCTATAGGACAGTGGAATTACTTCCTGTCTAATAAGAAAGCCATGCTAAGAGTTAGTTGGCATCTTACAGAAGATTTTTACATGATACAGAACATTTTCAGAGAAAACTTCCTACATTTGACTTTTTATTCATTCTTATTTGTGCATCTTCTGAGCTCTAGTCTTCATAAGAAAGGGAAGAGATTATTTTCAAATCTTTCTGGAGTAGGGTTGTTTCTCAACACTATAAGGGTATGAAAAGTTGCACGCTTCCAACATGAGTGCAAATCTTCTCTGGTTAATTCTTTTTCTCAGTTTTGGGTTTGTCTGTTGTATTTTTTTTTTTTTCCTAGATCTATAAAAGAAACCTAACATATCATCTTTTAAAATATCAGTAAATTGAAAAGAAACTCATTAATGAGCACATCCAGATATGGAAGAAAAAATGATGGTGATGAATTAACCTTGCAAGGATTTGCAGACAGATCTCAACTCCTGCCCTGTCCTTCTCTAGAAGGAAAGGCTTAGCCAGCGTTTCCAAGGCTAAATGAAAACAGACAGGCCTGTTAAGTCAGAGCAGTCAATGGGACTTGGGCATTGACTCTTCTTTTGCATGTTCCTGCAAGGCCACATTTCACAGCACAGTTCAGTGTTTTTCCCTCCATGGCCCTTTGCACTCACTTGGCAGGGGAACAGCATTATAGTCATGGTGTATAAAGAGAAAGGGGAAATAGCCCCTGCCCTGATCCAAGCCAGGAGAAGACAATCCCCAGCTAGTTCAGTCTCAGCTGCACCTGCCCACAGGGGATACATCTTCCTCCTTTCACAAACTACTTATCAAGATTGTCAGGCACACTGCAAAACTGCCTTGTCAAAACTGCCTTGTCCAAGACTGAAAGGTATTGAAGGAGCTGAAGAGAAAACACAGGTGGTCTGGCACTAGTGGTCTAACAGATCAATTATTAGGCAGCTAGCATCAGCTGTGCAATTTTAAAGTACCACAGGTACCATTTTAAACTGCACCACCTACCTAAGCATCTTTGGTGCATCATGGGGATTGGGAGGACAAAAGACATTCAGAGATAGATGTTAATACTATATTATTGCATTAGCACTTCACCAAGACAAAAGCATGCATCATATCTCCCCATGTGCTCTTGAAGTATGAAAATGGTGTGAAATATTAAGTATAAAATTGCTGGCTAGAGAGCTTACAGTCTATGCAGTGACCAGAAATGCTGCAGTCCTGCCCAGCTTCAGCTATACCCTACAGTTGCACCTGTAGGGGCCGATTGCTTGGCCCATCATTATTTTTAAAGCCAAAAAAAAAA